CATGTTGGTACTCTTCCAGGTGAGCTCATGAAAATCTTCCTCTATGTCAGCAGATACAAAATACACATAAATCACACCTAACTTGAAAACCAGAACCTAAGAACATCTGCTCGCTCTCAATTAATCTTACCTTTCCCCCCTCTGCTATTTAAAATGTTTATATACTGTAGGCACCAGGAATCAAAAAATAATAATAATCCCAGTTTGTTTTCCTTCTGTTGGATCAAGCCTGTTACATTGCAAGGGCTGAGATCATTGTTCAGGGAACAAATATAAAACCATTGTAAAAATGAACCATTCTTCACATGAAACCCAAACTGCTATATGGCCACTTCTAGTCTTTCAAAGGAAACGAAGTCAGCTGGTGCAATTGGCACCGCTCTGTGAACCGAAGCAGTGGTGTGTTGCTTTATACCAGCTGATAGCCAACCTACGAAAAATTTCAAACTCATCTTGGCTGACTCTGGGCTTGGTCCTTACAGGCACGTGGACTTTCTGGGGGAAATCCTTGAATATTTACAAATCTTCTTACCGTTAAACGTTACTGTTTCTAGTGTTTACAGATTATGGGTTAGACCTAGAGACACATCCGAAAAGAGTTACAGTTCTGATTCTTGATCCTTTTAAATGGTTCCTTCCGTTCATCCATCTTTCCAATTTTAAAGAAGACTTTTTCTTTGTCGTTAGAACAAATCGGACAATTTTCATGCCAAATGAAACATCAAGCCAAAATTACTGGATGAAGAAAAAGAGGGGGGCAAAGTAGGGCTGATACTGAGTGCAGTTAGGACTCTATATTTCTACACAACAAAAGTGGGTGCAGATTATTTTGTAATTGTTTTGTCCAGTGTCTGTGCACGCCCTGCATTTAGGCTGTAAAGGTAAAACTGTCCCATTTACAGGGGCTTTGGGGCAGTGGAGGCAGAGCTCTACTGTTTCTTTAACCTCAACACAAGAAGGAGTCGATGTGGTCAGCACACACTGCAGACACCTGGTGCCCATCAGATAGGCTGCGGGATGGGCTCAGAGCTGTGCTGGAAGTGAAAATGATGGATGGAAACCTGCTGCTTTCACCTGGGATCAAACCCCAGTCTTCCTTGTCTGTAGCCAGTCACCCTAGCAACTGAGCTACACAGCTGTCGTCATTCAAATATAGCAAATCATATTTACCACGCTAAGATGGAGCCAGCAAATACTTTATCTGTGTAGTACTATTGAAAAATAACAGTCATGTCTATGAACACATGAGCTCATACTATTTTTTTGGCTCACATACTAAACCCTTGAAACAGTCAGTTATGAATTTCCAACTCAGGACTGCAAATTGTGTTCCTATCAGGTGCAGAGTTGCTAGACACCGGATATCCATCCTGTGATTCATGGAGACTGTACAGGTCTGGCTGGATTGCCTAGTGCGCTTGCAGGCAGAGTTAGTCGTGGGAGCCCACCTCTCCACAACAAGATAGCAGGAGTATATTGAGCACTGATAAAGCAGCTATAATTGCTGTGACTACCACACCATCTACAGAGGAACAGAGGCAGCAGGATAAAATGATTGCATCTAATAAAGTTTGAGAGCCACAGCACAGTTGCTGTCAGACACGAGCACTTTGATAGCGCATCTGTGCATGCTATTGCCGTGATGGTTGTGTATCATGAGATTTGTCTTGCCATGAAATATTGGGTTATAATGCGGGTTTTGACAGTTTGCAATTCCATTTGATAGCAAAACGATTGAAAATCTCATGGAAAATTCCTATATAATGAATTGAAATTTTGTTTAGAGGTGTTTTGAACTCCCGTCTCAGTTCAGATTGTAATATCAAACGGTGTCTCTGCTATAGGATAGTTTTAGAAAAATTATGGAAGAGTCAGTGTTTCATTCAAAAATATAATTTATATAACAAATTCTATGAAATCTTGTATATTTCTGGGGTTTTTTTTTACAAATCCTCTGAAATTTTATACAACATTTCCATAAGGAAGTACGTTAGCCCATCTCTTGATGAAGTTGGTCTCTTCAACAGAATTTCATAGCCTTCTTCATATTAAATGCAAATATTTATGCCTTTATAAATAGCACTAGGACATATGAATGGATATAACTGCAATACCAAGAAGAAAATAAAGGAAAGGGCAATGAAAAGAACATAATTAGGCAGTAGAGAGTTAGAATATGGTGGCTGATTTTTTCCAAAATACCTAAATAAAATAGAGATGGCGATATAGATCATGGAGAACAGGTGCTAAAAGATCCTTTGCAACTTATTTTTAGAATGAAATGTAGTGTATCTGCAACTCATGCATATTTAAAAGGGTGGTCGATTGTTCTCACCCAACTGCTCGATGTTATTGCAGCTGAGGGTGGTGGGAATTTGTAATGCAGATGCAAAATGGCCCCATCTCTCCCTTCTATTTATTCATGTATTCTTTTTATTCTTCAGAATGCCTACGTCAACATCAATCGCATCATGTCAGTGGCATCCAGGCTCTCAGAGGCAGGCCATTATGCTTCCCAGCAAATTAAACAAATCTCCACCCAGCTGGATCAAGAATGGAAGAGCTTCGCTGCAGCCCTGGATGAGCGCAGCACCATCCTCGCCATGTCTGCTGTATTTCACCAGAAGGCCGAGCAGGTGAGTTACTTTAATGATCTGGAAAATTATCTACAAACCAGCTAGGTAACCATGAAAATGAAATGAGTATCTGGGGAGGCTTGGCAATGAGATTAAGAGGCTCAGTTCAGCTCCTAGTGGACAAATCATAAATACCACCACAGATGACACACAATTGATGCCCTTGGTAATCTAAAAGGGAAAACCTAGGACTGAGTAACCTTGGAGAATGAATTCCCCTTTCCCCAGAGGTGTTTCTTCCCTGTCATAGATGAATCACACTGGTGGAGTAAAACACTGCCTTGCTTTCTGTGCTGCATCACTGCCTCCTGGACAGTATCTGTACTGTGGGTGTACTCAGGAGTGTTGTGCGCTGGAAAAGTAGGGACGATAATGAAAAGGGGGCATGCAGAACATAGGTCTGTACTTCAGGAACGTGCAGTGGAATGGAAGTCTCAAGGATTTAGTCCCACTATTTTCCTTTATTATTTAATCTTGCAGTAGCATCCCACTATTTCTAATTGCATTTAGTCTCAGGCACAGAGAACTGTAGAGGTGGGTATTGTATCGGTGAGTAGAGATTTCTTCTTCCTTGGGTATGAGTTCTGTCTTTTATCATTCTAGGAAATAACACAAGGGTTTTTGACAGTTTCTTCACTAGGCTTGAAGTCTGTCCATGGCTGATTCCTCTGCTTGTTTTAGTCTCAAATCCACTCTGCACATTATGACCTGGCTTTGATCACTGGTTGATCACATTCTTCTTCAGGTAGCAAGCACTGTTTGAGGTTCTCTCTTAAGTCTTGTTATATACCTTCCTTTCATGCAGTAGTTCACGTTGAACCCAATGGGATGCACGTTTCCACAATGAATTTTGCTTTGAATGGCTGGAAGCTACCCTCTAGGCCATCTGATGCAAACCTGGAACATGGCCAGGCAGGCCATATGACTTTCTCTTCTCCTGTAGGATGTATGACTCTTTTACATAAGGGAAGAGGTCATTTTTAGACTTTTAGCAGTCTGTAATTTGTAGCTACTAATTTTTGTCCATTTTTATCTCCTTGTGCCAAGAGTACTCCTTCTGCAGAACATAACATGCACTCATTGTCTTTGACAGTTATTTTTGGTTTTGGCTGTCTTTTGCTGTGATGTCTTTCTAGCTAGGGGTTTCTTTTTATATTTTTATTTTTCCTTTTGGAAAAACATAACTAGGATTCAACTCTGAGGTTATCGTGGACATGGTTATTGGTGTTGGTTCATTGCCCCACAACTTCCCTAGGAACTTATTAACCCTGAATTCAGCATCTTTGGAAGTTAGTCTAACCAGAGTCCTTCATAAATGAATGACTCCTTACTAAATAAATATAGTGAGGCCTGCTATTCATAAATCAATAAAATAAAGGATGAAGCATACCAAAACACAGAACAAGCTATGTCATAGGCATTGCAAGGTATTACAGAGAAGTTTAAAACCCTTCTCAAAGGTTTCCAGCCTTTGGAGCCCTGATATAGGGTACAGAGAAAGAAGGACTAACTAGGTTTATGGGCATCCAGCTTCTGTTAACCATTGCCCACTGATTTAGGCAATGAGCAATAGGGGAGGGAGACTTTTCTTGGGCTAGGGACAGAAATTACACATAAACTGGTATAAGTGATGGGAAACTGGTTCAAATCTGTAACACAACAGAAGTTCAGTGCATATAAACTGCTTCCAAAATGGCTGAAATCGGTTTAAGATAAACCAGGCTGGAAGTAGTATCAGACTTCACTGATGTAGGTTAAAACTGTTTAGTGAACTTCTGTCCCAGATCCCCTCCAGATTCACGTTAACTCACAATCCCCCAGTATCCGAAAATGCTTTGCACCTCCCCCGTAAACTCCAACACCCCCTGGACCACTGCAGGCACGTGGCTACATTTCCAGAATCAAAAGCGAATGTCTGTTCACTTGTTTATGGGTTCAATCTACGCAGCTGAGACTAACCTGTGAAGATTAAATTAATAGATTTCATAGACATTAGGGCTGGAAGGGACCTCATAAGATCACTGGGTCCAGCCCTCTGCCCAAGAGGCAGAAAGTCAGCTAGGGTCAGAGGACTCCAGCAAGATAGGCATCCAAATGTTTCTTGAAAGTGTCCAAAGTAGGTGCTTGCACCACCTTTGGGGGGAGTCTATTCCAGGCCTTGGTGACTTGAACAGTGGAGAAGTTTTTCAGCCTCGGGCTTTTTGCATGTCTGTACTTAGCCTTGGTGATCTCTGACTTCCTGCTGGAAGACTAACAGCCAAATCCACCCTGCAGTAGGCCCTCTGTTTTAGTATATACCTTGCAAGTGCATCCATGCTGGTGAACCCTCGTGCCTAAATTGATGGGATCCCTGAGGCTTCATCTCTTCAGACTCACTTATAGAATCAGCACTGTGATTTGGGCTTTTGAGATCAATGAGTTGGTTTTGCTCATGAAAAGGTTGTTGAGTTGCTGGTGTAGGTACATGATTATGCTTCTTTTAAGATTTGGGTTGCTAATCAACAAGTCCATCTCAGAGAAGAAAAGAAGAACGTGTTAGTCAGAGCCTTTGCTACAGCTAAGGTTAGGGGAAAAGTCCGGCCCAAGCAGTAAGCAGGATCTTTTGTATTGCTTACTGCCCATAGAATTATGGCAGATTTCTCCTTATTTTGGGTTTCCTACTTAGATTGGCCCTGAGTGTATCCTAGTGGCCATTTACATATGCGAGCATGCCCAGTGGTTCCAGCACCACCACCATACTGAGCAAAATGCATAATAGCTACGTGAGAAATGTTGTACGCGTTATCCCACTTTAATCTCACTGTGTTTCAAATACCCTCTGCACTGTAAAATGCAGGCACCAGGCTTCAGAGCTGTTAATCTTCCATCAGCAATACATCCCTGTGGAAAGATGGAAAAAAGACCTATTTAGAGCGCCGAATCCAAATGAGATGGATTTAAAGTTTTATTATTAAAAATAGTTTTCTAGGTTTCTTTTTTACAAGTGACCTCTTATTTTTCAAAGGTGTTGGGACTTGTTTGCAGCTTGAGAGGTGTTGCTAAGATATTTTATAACATGAAAGGCAATAAAACAAGAAAGCTGTATTGAACTGCCTGTCAGTTAGAGGTATATTTTTTGTCACTCTAGCCTTTGAACATCATCAGAATGGATATTTTGCCTCAATCTTCGCTTAGAAAACAGGTCCATTAACATCACTTTCAACTACTCTTCTCTTTTCTTTCTTCCGTTTTTTTGATTGCAAGAAAGGGACTAAAAATACAGCCCTCTCTTGGCAACTCTTTAAAGGGAACAAAAGTTTGTGCTGCCTGACAGTGACCAGAGTTTCTCTGCACTGAGCAAATGAGAGATTTTTGTTAATACTGAAAAGTTGGTGTTCCTGACTTGGAAGAAGAGGCAGTTCAGTGGGAGGGGAGCATTGATGTGAAGCCAGTAAACTCAAAATGCTGGAAAATATGATGTGGGAGTCAGCATGTCCTACTCACAACTCCATCTAGCTGGGACTGAAATATTTGGCTTGCTTCAGTAGCTCTGGTAGGATAAACCAAGGACTTGTGCACACTGATAATTTAGTCATTTGACCTCTGTGGTGTCCTACAAAGAGTGAGCTACTAGGAGTTTGAAGTCAGGCCGGTGCATGGATTGTTCTCCAAGCTCTAGTGCAACAAGTCACTACTTTTTGTTCAATCCTGTCTACCAACTCACTTCTGAGATGCCGTAAAATAGCGTGTTTAATAATATCTCACATATTGATCATGAGAAGGGACAGTAGTTTGAGACACTGGAACAAACCCCAGTTTTATTCAACATGTTATCTGTGCTATCCAAGCACAGCAAGAAGCACCTTGGATTTTTCAAGGTCTCATCCTGAAGACCCACACACAGCAGACTGCCCAAGAGCTCAATTTGTCTAGGTCGGGAGGATGAAAGGCTGAGTTTGTCCTTCTGGGAACTAAACTAAACTTCACATCTGTCTTCACGTGCCTCCCAATCGCATTTGTTTTTCCGGTTCTTACAGCGGACACCTGTGGCATATTGACTTGAATTTGGCCGAAGGAACTCTAGGATCAAAGCATGTTTTGGTCTCATTTTTTTAAAACAAAGGTTCATAAATACCAGAAAGACCACATAAAACAACCTCTAAACAAAGAAGAGGGCTGAAAAAATCTTGTAGACTTGAAGCCTGGCCAAACTCGCTAGAGTTTGTGTTTTTGATCAAAAGCTGATGTATTTAGCACTGGGCCCACACATCTTGCTCAGGTCAGGGTTTGAATTTGGGGGCTGTACAACCACGTTTTCTTAATCTCTCCTAATTGTCATGCTTACAAGCCTGATCTCTCATGGCAGTATACGTCAGAAGTAATTCCCCTTATGCCAGGGGGGGTAAAACCAGAAGAGAAGAACTTTTTGGAGAATGATTGCATTTTTGAGTATGGTTGAAGCTGTGCGGGCCCTCTCCCGATCCCGTCTGGGTTGCCATGTGCGAGCCGGGGGCGAGCCGGGCCCGTCTTTGTGCACACAGGCTGTGGCCGGCAGCCCGGGCACACGGGGCTGGAGAAAAACCGCGGCGCGGTTTGGTACGCTCGAGCTAGAATCAGTCACGGAGACGTAATGGTTGATTGAAAAGATTATTTACTTACACCCAAGGTGGTCGCAGTGTAGGCTGGTCAGCTTTCCAGGCACAGCTCCGCTTGAGTTCTCGGTGGAGGACTCTAATAAACTCGGTTCCTTGACCCCGGAGTGATTCAGGCTCCGCGGGTTCAAGAATTCGTTCCCACAGAGCAGCTGTATCTCCGTGAGTGTTGTTTCCTCTCTCTTCAACTTGGGCGGAAACTACCCAGCCTTTTTGGACGGCTAGAAAGCCAATAGCTAGCCGCCACGTATGCCTACATTTAGAACCGGCCAATAATGTGGCACGAATCTAAATACAAATGGCGGGAACTCCTTTGCATCGTGCATCACTATAATGCAAAAGAAATGCACTATGCAAAGAAGGCTACAG